TTACACTCAGTTTCTTAGGCGTGTACTATTCCTGACTCTCCACAGGGAATCTTGTAAATCAAATAAAAGTCAGGTAATTGGTATAAAATATTGTCTGCTGTTGAGAGATATTTGTGAACTGTTAGTATGTCAGACTCAGTAGATGGTGATTAATTGTGTTTCTGATGCCCACCATTATTATTTCTGCAGATCGTATTTGGATTAATTTGACATTCAAACAAAACCCTTTTCTTATGGCGTAATCGTAATACATCCTGAGGTGTTCAATGCCCTATAACCTAAAATTGACCACATTGAGCAACAACTGTTTGTACAGTGTCGGCCTAATAAGATTTAAAAGAGGAATCGAAAGGGTCATGAGGCCCTAATGTCTTCCCAGTCCAAAATTAAAGTCCAATTTAAGCTGTGAAAAAAAAAAATCCTGTTTTTAAATTTGAAACGTTAGTCTGAGACGGTCACACATGACCACTTTGACACGTTATTGACCCTTTCTGGTGTGTCCAGTCATGAGGTAATGCGCTGGAGGAAGGATAGAGACTATTATTCTTAAACAATAGAGGAAATAATCAAGCATAAAATGAGGAAAAGTTTGCCAAACCTTGTACTATTTCAAGCTCTGCGTTATAAATCAGCCTGTGCTTGACAGTGGCATGTCCCAGCGTGCATTATTTTGTTACAGTATATATGATGTAGGCTTTACAAATATGCACTGTCAGAAAAAGTATGGTGCAATAGCTGTATCCTTAAAATGACTACTTTGTACTGTATTTTTACCCCTAAAAGTTTCATAGTAGAACCTACTCCAAAGTACTAATATGTACCCTAAGGTACTACTATGAACCTTTTAGGGGTAATTAAGGTACAAGATTGTCAATTTAAGTGGAATTACCCTTGTGACAAGCTGTTGTACCCCTAATGATAACATTTTTGCTCATCTTTCTGGCAGTGTTCAGTGTTTAGTTCAGGATGGGGTTGTTTGAGTACTTATTTTACATGCTAAGATGGTATTTACGTAGAAGTCTAAAGTCACAGCAGCTAAAAGCAATTGCATGCATGCAAATGGAAACTAGCTGCACAATTTAATGTCATTTCATTGTGTTGCAAAATTGTGTTAGTGTTGTAGTACTTGAGACCGGTCTCTCGATCTCGTCTCGGACTCGACTGCTTTTAGTCTCAGTCTTGGACATTGAGGACTCAGGATTTTTTTCAAGACCAGACAACTGTGAAAATATCACTAATTTACCAGTATATTGACTAATTTTTTGTTAACATCCTTGCTTTTATGTTTGTAATATGTACTGATTCAAATCCAAGCAATAACGTGACTCATTGGTCATTGCTAATTATGTACTTTTGTTACCGCTGCCTGTCACCCATGCATGAATGTTCATGTATTGTTAATAAAAGGTGGAGAAAAGTGAAGACAAGTTTTACATTCTGTACTAAATGATGGAAGTCACCCAGGAGTATTGAATAAAGATGGTTTATTTCAGCTTTGAGTGTTGGAAATGTGGATCTTTCAGATCAATCTGAGAAGATTTCAGATCAATCTCTTTTGATCATGTTTCACATTTTATTGTGTCATGTAGTGTGGGGCGCTGGTCTTGGTCTTGACTCGGTCTTTGGTCTTGTGTCAGTCTCGATACACTCTGGTCTTGGTCTTGTCTTGGTCTCGGCCCCTAAAAGTCTTGGTCTTGTCTCAGTCTCAATACACTCTGGTCTTGGTCTTGACTCGGTCTCGGCCCCTAAAAGTCTTGGTCTTGTCTCAGTCTCGATACACTCTGGTCTTGGTCTTGACTCGGTCTCGGCCCCTAAAAGTCTTGGTCTTGTCTCAGTCTCGATACACTCTGGTCTTGGTCTTGTCTTGGTCTCGGCCCTAAAAGTCTAGGTCTTGTCTCGGTCTCAATACACTCTGGTCTTGGTCTTGACTCGGTCTCGGCCCCTAAAAGTCTTGGTCTTGTCTCAGTCTCAATACACTCTGATCTTGGTCTTGTCATGGTCTCTGCCCCTAAAAGTCTTGGTCTTGTCTCAGTCTCAATACACTCTGATCTTGGTCTTGTCATGGTCTCTGCCCCTAAAAGTCTTGGTCTTGTCTCAGTCTCAATACACTCTGGTCTTGGTCTTGTCTTGGTCTCGGCCCCTAAAAGTCTTGGTCTTGTCTCAGTCTCAATACACTCTGATCTTGGTCTTGTCATGGTCTCGGCCCCTAAAAGTCTAGGTCTTGTCTCAGTCTCAATACACTCTGGTCTTGGTCTCGTCTTGGTCTCGGCCCCTAAAAGTCTTGGTCTTGTCTCAGTCTCGATACACTCTGGTCTTGGTCTTGTCATGGTCTCGGCCCCTAACAGTCTTGGTCTTGTCTCGGTCTCAATACACTCTGGTCTTGGTCTTGTCTTGGTCTCGGCCCTAAAAGTCTAGGTCTTGTCTCGGTCTCAATACACTCTGGTCTTGGTCTTGACTCGGTCTCGGCCCCTAAAAGTCTAGGTCTTGTCTCAGTCTCAATACACTCTGGTCTTGGTCTTGTCATGGTCTCGGCCCCTAAAAGTCTTGGTCTTGTCTCAGTCTCAATACACTCTGGTCTTGGTCTTGTCTCGGTCTCGATACACTCTGGTCTTGGTCTCGTCTTGGTCTCGGCCCCTAAAAGTCTTGGTCTTGTCTCAGTCTCAATACACTCTGGTCTTGGTCTTGTCTCGGTCTCGATACACTCTGGTCTTGGTCTCGTCTTGGTCTCGGCCCCTAAAAGTCTTGGTCTTGTCTCGGTCTCAATAAGATCTGGTCTTGGTCTTGTTTTGGTCTCGGCCCCTAAAAGTCTAGGTCTTGTCTCGGTCTCAATACACTGTGGTCTTGGTCTTGACTCGGTCTCGGCCCCTAAAAGTCTAGGTCTTGTCTCAGTCTCAATACACTCTGGTCTTGGTCTTGTCATGGTCTCGGCCCCTAAAAGTCTTGGTCTTGTCTCAGTCTCGATACACTCTGGTCTTGGTCTTGTCTCGGTCTCAATACACTCTGGTCTTGGTCTTGTCTTGGTCTCGGCCCCTAAAAGTCTTGGTCTTGTCTCGGTCTCAATACACTCTGGTCTTGGTCTTGTCTTGGTCTCGGCCCCTAAAAGTCTTGGTCTTGTCTCGGTCTCGATACACTCTGGTCTTGGTCTTGTCTTGGTCTCGGCCCCTAAAAGTCTTGGTCTTGTCTCGGTCTCGATACACTCTGGTCTTGGTCTTGTCATGGTCTCGGCCCCTAAAAGTCTTGGTCTCGTCTCAGTCTCAATACACTCTGGTCTTGGTCTTGGTCTCGATACACTCTGGTCTTGGTCTTGTCTTGGTCTCGGCCCCTAAAAGTCTTGGTCTTGTCTCAGTCTCAATACACTCTGGTCTTGGTCTTGGTCTCGATACACTCTAGTCTTGGTCTTGTCATGGTCTCGGCCCCTAAAAGTCTTGGTCTTGTCTCAGTCTCAATACACTCTGGTTTTGGTCTTGTCTCGGTCTCGATACACTCTGGTCTTGGTCTCGTCTTGGTCTCGGCCCCTAAAAGTCTTGGTCTTGTCTCAGTCTCAATACACTCTGGTCTTGGTCTTGTCTCGGTCTCGATACACTCTGGTCTTGGTCTCGTCTTGGTCTCGGCCCCTAAAAGTCTTGATCTTGTCTCGGTCTCAATACACTCTGGTCTTGGTCTTGTTTTGGTCTCGGCCCCTAAAAGTCTAGGTCTTGTCTCGGTCTCAATACACTCTGGTCTTGGTCTTGACTCGGTCTCGGCCCCTAAAAGTCTAGGTCTTGTCTCAGTCTCAATACACTCTGGTCTTGGTCTTGTCATGGTCTCGGCCCCTAAAAGTCTTGGTCTTGTCTCAGTCTCGATACACTCTGGTCTTGGTCTTGTCTCGGTCTCGATACACTCTGGTCTTGGTCTTGTCTTGGTCTCGGCCCCTAAAAGTCTTGGTCTTGTCTCGGTCTCAATACACTCTAGTCTTGGTCTTGTCTTGGTCTCGGCCCCTAAAAGTCTTGGTCTCGTCTCGGTCTCGATACACTCTGGTCTTGGTCTCGTCTTGGTCTCGGCCCCTAAAAGTCTAGGTCTTGTCTCGGTCTCGATACACTCTGGTCTTGGTCTTGTCATGGTCTCGGCCCCTAAAAGTCTTGGTCTCGTCTCAGTCTCAATACACTCTGGTCTTGGTCTTGGTCTCGATACACTCTGGTCTTGGTCTTGTCTTGGTCTCGGCCCCTAAAAGTCTTGGTCTTGTCTCGGTCTCGATACACTCTGATCTTGGTCTTGTCATGGTCTCGGCCCCTAAAAGTCTTGGTCTTGTCTCGGTCTCGATACACTCTGATCTTGGTCTTGTCTTGGTCTCGGCCCCTAAAAGTCTTGGTCTTGTCTCGGTCTCAATACACTCTGGTCTTGGTCTTGTCTTGGTCTCGGCCCCTAAAAGTCTTGGTCTTGTCTCAGTCTCAATACACTCTGATCTTGGTCTTGTCATGGTCTCGGCCCCTAAAAGTCTTGGTCTCGTCTCGGTCTCGATACACTCTGGTCTTGGTCTCGTCTTGGTCTCTGCCCCTAAAAGTCTTGGTCTTGTCTCGGTCTCGATACACTCTGGTCTTGGTCTTGTCATGGTCTCGGCCCCTAAAAGTCTTGGTCTTGTCTCAGTCTCAATACACTCTGGTCTTGGTCTTGGTCTCGATACACTCTGGTCTTGGTCTTGTCTTGGTCTCGGGTTAGGTGGTCTTGACTACAAAACTAGTGTTCGTTAGTGTTTACACTATTGATTTTAGCCATTTTTTCTCTAAATAGTGTGTTGAACAGGACAGTGTTTTTACTACATTAATCAAGCATTAGTGTTTGGCGAGTCGACTAGTGTTTTGCTTCGCTTTTTGCATCCACTCTTGCATTGCGTGTTTGTGTATTTGGGTATGGAGCAATGAAGGGAGGGGTGTGTTTGTTTGGGTTGATTCCAAATATCAACAGTTGCACCTGTAACTCATACATTCAACATGTTTTTAATCCGTTTTCTCTTTGTTTAACAGGAGATCATCGAAAAGCAAAGCACCTCCTCCTCCTGTCCAGAAAAGCCTGGATGCTCCATTGCTGAGCCTAAAGCTCCCAGCACACCCTCACCCTGCCATGGACCAGAAGGAAAACATGCTGGAGCAGGATTTAACGCTCGCCGTGGTCCTTCCTGGAGGGGTGGAGAAGACCATCGAGGTCCATGGCAGGTGAGGGGTTCTGTTGGTTGTGTTTTAGGTACAGCGCTGGAGGCTGGTTTGGAGTTCACATGGGAAAGATGTCACATTTGCAGCAGGAGAAGAGACAAGCAACAGTTTTAATCAAATAATCAAGATAATCCAAAAGAAATCGAAATCGAGCAACATAACTCGACACAGGTGAACTCTATTGAAACCAAAAGGACACAGGACATTAACACAGGAAACTTGAACAATGATATGACAGAAAAGCTTCCAGTCTAGCTGACAGAGAAGTGAAAAGTCAAAGTGAATTAACAATATAGTCGGAGTTCCCATGGATTTTTAAAGATATTTCAAAATTAAAGACGTTAAAAGTCTCAAATTTTACAAAAATATCTTGAACCGCTCAATCAGTGTTATTTTAGCATTATTTATATACTATCATAGTATTTATTAATATTTTGTTTTAGCTTTTAGTTTTTTTTTAATTTTAGCTCATTTAATTTTTTTGTATCACAATTTATTTGTGTTGAAGCTTTAGTAATTTTGTTATATGCTTTTATTATTATATATATTTTTTAAATATATTTCTATTTAGCTCTAATTTAGTTTTTGTATCAGTTTTAGTACTTACTTTTTTTCAGTTAGTTGCCAAGGCAAAATTAAAATTTTTCGTTTAATGCTTTTTTTATTCTAATTTTTTTTTTGGGAAAATTTTTAAATTTAAAAATAAAAAAAAAATTAATTAATTAAAAAAAAAATTAATTTAAAATGTTTTAATATTTTTTTAAAAATATTTTTACTTTGTCAACAATGCCCATTTATCTCTCCACTGTGGTTTTAATATGCTTGTTTTGTGCCCCATTTTCAAATAGTGTTTTAAAGCATAAATAACTAATTTAAATAAGTTTAAGCTTAGACAAAATGAAAAACATTTGCTAGTTGGATAAGAAAAAATAACTTTATTCAACATATAATCTTTAAAAACACACTTCAGCTTTAAATAATGTCACAGCATTGTGCTCTGCAAACAACATTGAAAACGATTGTGTTGATTTTGGTTGACACTGGAGTTTCCCTCCATCCAGAAATAATAATGATAAAAATTACATTGTAAACAAATTACAATATACAGATGTGCTTGAGGAGTTTGTTGGCAAACCTTTACACAAGACTGGACATTTGTTGCTTTTGCATTTGTTGCTATGTTAATGTTGTGTACCCCTTAACAAATATGTAGAAGCAGCCCTGACACTGTATCATCTCTCATGATCTTACAAATCTTATTCAAATACCACTGTTCAGAGTGTTATGATGATGTAATGGTGCATGTTTGGCAGGATGGAATAAACATTGCAAAAATGACAGTTTGAGCCTGAGCACATGAAACATTGGTTTACTTGCAGCTGTGTCTGTTTATAGCCCTAACAACCTGAACCGTTATGGATTATTAAAGTAACCTAATACAAAAATTCTCAAAGCGGAGACGATTTTACTTTTAATGAATATGAACCGTTAAATGAGATGATTTTACGGAACTTTACTTTTAAAGGAGTAGTTCTCTTTAAAAAAAAAACTTTTGCTGATAATTTACTCACCCCCATGTCATCCAAGATGTCCACGTCTTTCTTTCTTCAGTCGTAAAGAAATTAAGGTTTTTGATGAAAATATTCCAGGATTTTCTCCATATAATGGACTTCAATGGGAACCAAACGGTTCAGGGTCCAAATGAGAGTTTCAGTGCAGCTTCAAAGGACTTTAAACGACACCAGATGATGAATAAGGGTCTAATCTAGGACCCTTCGAGTCATGACTCGAAAAAAGATTCGTTCATTTTTATGAACAACTTCGAACAAGCAAGTCATGAGAACAGAGCAAGATGAGCATTTGTGCTTATACAACTTAAACTTTGTTATTTATTTTTGAAATGAGCGATCTTTTTGCTTGATAAGACCCTTATTCATCATCTGGAATCGTTTAAAGCCCTTTGAACAGTTTGCACTGAAACTCTCATTTGGATCTTGAACCGTTTGGTCCCCATTGAAGTCCATTATATGGAGAAAATCCTGGAATGTTTTCATCAAAAACCTTAATTTCTTTTCGACTGAAGAAAGAATGACATGGACATCTTGGATGACATGGGGGTGAGTAAATTATCAGCAAAAGTTTTTTTTAAAAAAGTGAACTACTCCTTTAATGAATATGAACCGTTAAATGAGACGATTTTGCGGACCTTTACTTGAAATGAATGTGGTCCACTTCTGCGTGGAAGGTGTTAATCTCTGCGCCGTGCTGGATATATGAGATCATGAAGATTGTCAGATGATTACTGTTATGAAAGTAATCAGATGATTGCTGCAGTGAGTCAGCTGGGTGGGGCCGCATGTTTCTCTGAGCTCCTGCAACTAATCTGGGTTGGTTTGGGTACAAAATGACGTTAGAGAGTAATACTGCGTCTCGTTATTCTGTTTGTGATTATCATTGAACACTGAACATTGATCGATTTCAGCAGTTGGATCATTCCTGTGCTCTGTGTGCCGTGTTCAGTGTCAGGGTGTTTTCTGTCCTCGACACTTCATCCCAACTGTTAAAAGTGTGCCAGTGGGACTTACTTCAACTTGGCTAAATAGAATTACTTGGATATTAATAGCATTACATAGACAGATACACAACTCTATCCATCTATCTATCTATCTATCTATCTATCTATCTATCTATCTATCTATCTATCTATCTATCTATCTATCTATCTATCTATCTATCTATCTATCTATCTATCTATCTATCTATCTATCTATCATCTGTCTGTCTGTCTGTCTGTCTGACTGTTGATCTTTCTATCTGTCTGTCTATCTATCTATCTATCTATCTATCTATCTATCTATCTATCTATCTATCTATCTATCTATCTATCTATCTATCTATCTATCTATCTATCTATCTATCTATCTATCTATCTATCTATCTATCTATCATCTGTCTGTCTGTCTGTCTGACTGTTGATCTTTCTATCTGTCTGTCTATCTATCTATCTATCTATCTATCTATCTATCTATCTATCTATCTATCTATCTATCTATCTATCTATCTATCTATCTATCTATCTATCTATCTATCTATCTATCTATCTATCTATCTATCTATCTATCTATCTGTCTGTCTGTCTGTCTATCTATCTATCTATCTATCTATCTGACTGTCTGTCTGTCTGTTGATCTGTCTATCTATCTGTCTGTCTATCTATCTGTCTGTCTGTCTGTCTGTCTGTGTGTTGATCTATCTATCTATCTATCCATCTGTCTGTCTGTCTATCTATCTATCTATCTATCTATCTATCTATCTATCTATCTATCTATCTATCTATCTGTCTATCTATCTATCTATCTATCTATCTATCTATCTATCTATCTATCTATCTATCTAGTGTGTCTATCTGTCCATCCATCCATAATTTTTTCCACAAATAAGACTGCACTATTTGTGCTTTTGCATTGTGTTGCTAAGGTATTATTTCTTTTTCCCGGCACAAACCTGATCTCAGATTTCAGGCAATCAGTCATCACATTTAATCATGGTTTCAATCTGTTCTTTGATCCCGAATCACCTGCATGAAACCTAATTTTCCTAAGTTCAACGTTGTGCCTGATTAATGCTAAAACTGAAACCAAATTCAACATAAAGGCATTAATAATCAAATTCTTCACCTGCTTTTCTAAATGTGTGCCACCCATACTTGCTGGCCTCCTTCTTAGCAGGATTAAATTATTGGCTCTGTGTTTTCCAAAGAATTCTAAAAGCAGCTGGAAAGCTTTTTTGTGTCATAAGCTGTCTCGAAAGGATTTTCCACACTTTCAGTATGCAATGTGTCAAGCATATAGGTCATAGTTTTCACTGAAGCCTAACAGGAGTCAATGGAAAACCACATTTGAAATGATCCTCACTGTTTGTTAGTGCAGTGTTAAAGGAACAGTTCACGAAAAATGACAATTCTGTCTTCATTTACTCATTATTTACAACAACGGTCCATGTGTTCCATGGAAGACCAAAATATTTTTTGTTCACATGACTATATTGTTATTGTCACAAACACTTGAAAAACCATCAATTGAACTTCCTTGATAGGGGTCACCAAGTCTTCCCTGCATCAAAATAGCATTAATGCAAATACTTGATACTTCACAGCAAAGCTTGTGTCGGAGTCACATGTTTCCTGGGGCTTTGGCTTTAATTCAACAACAAAATGATTTCTTTTTGAAATCGTAAAACACAGATTCTTGTGTCCCTAAGGAAAAGTTCACTAAATAATGAATTTTTTGTCCCCATGTATTCAACTTCATATCATTCATTCCAACCCAATTTTATGTCTTCTGTGAAACATAAAATGAGCAATTGATATTAAAAGTTTGCATGTTTTTCAGCAAACCCATGATGGACCTGCTGGTCATGCTTTGTGCAAAGTACCACCTGAACCCTTCTGGCCACACCATAGAGCTCGTCACCGCCAACAGGAACAATGTGAAGTTCAAACCCAACGCCCTTATCGGAGCCCTCGGGGCTGAGAAGATCCTGCTAAAACCGAAAGGCATGGAAGAGAAAATCAAAAGGACAGGATCACTTATGCCTGAGGTATACACGCCATTGTATCTTAAACATGAATTAAGTCCCCATTAAATCAAAACTGATTATGAATCGAGCTCTGTAAAAGATAATAGTGTCAGTATTCAGCTCAAAACTCTTAGTTCAGTGTCAATCTAATTCAGTTCGATAACAGTGGCAGTGTTGCAAAGTTAAAGGAGTAGTTCACTTTAAAAAAAAACTTTTGCTGATAATTCACTCACCCGCATGTCATCCAAGATGTCCATGTCTTTCTTTCTTCAGTCGAAAAGAAATGAAGGTTTTTGATGAAAACATTCCAGGATTTTTCTCCATATAATGGATTTCAATGGGGACCAAACGGTTCAAGGTCCAAAAGACACTTTCAGTGCAAACTGCAAACTGTTCAAAAGGGCTTTAAACGATTCCATTTGGATTCATTTGGTTCATTCAACGAACGAAATGAACTAATTGACTTTAAAGATTCGTTCATTTTGATGAACAGGAGAGTCACAAACGTGCATCACAGAACAGAGCAAGGCGACCATTTGAGCTTATAAAACTTAAAATTTGTTATTTATTTATTAAATGAGCGTTTCGCTTGATAAGACCCTTCTTCATCGTCTGGAATCGTTTAAAGCCCTTTGAACAGTTTGCACTGAAACGCTCTTTTGGACCTTGAACCGTTTGGACCCCATTGAAGTCCATTATATGGAGAAAAATCCTTGAATGTTTTCATCAAAAACCTTAATTTCTTTTCGACTGAAGAAAGAAAGACATGGACATCTTGGATGACAAGGCGGTGAGTAAATGATCAGCAAAAGTTTTTTTAAAAGTGAACTATCATTTAACACCAAGCCATCACTATATGGCAACCCCGTACTTAAATAAGTAGCACTTATTTTTCTTCTCTCTTCTCTTTCAGGCAACCGTACGATTAGTGATAAACTTCAAGAAAACCCAGAAAACCATTCTCAGGGTGAGTCCTCGGGTTCCTCTACGAGAACTGCTTCCGGCTATCTGTGAGAAATGTGAATTTGACCCGCAGACCACAGTTTTACTACGAAACGTCCACTCGGAAGACACTTTGGACTTGAGAAGCTCCCTCAATGACTTCGGTCTGAGGGAAGTGTATGCAAGAGACACCAGAGGTCAGAGCCCAGTGTGTGTTTATGCTAAGTACATTAAAATGACTCAATCATGCAGGACTGGTTTTCTTAAGGTGACTTTGAGATACTCTGCAAAACATTTTCATTATACTGTGCTCTTGGGTTTGCTTCTTTTCTCGCAGTTATTAGCCCTGCAAGTCCCATAAGTCTGCCTCCATCACCTACTCACTCAGGTAAGTTCATCAACATTACATTTTCCTTTTTAAAAGAATACTTAATTGGAAATGAAAGTAATTCTAAAATGATATAAAGTTGAAATATTGTTTATTTTTGCATGAACTATTCCTCTAACTACTAAATGCATTAAATCACAGAAATATTTCATCATGGGAGAGAGAAAATCAAGAGGGAGAAAGAAAATAAGCGGACTTTCAGCTTATTTCGGAAAGGAAGTAAGAAGCAATCTGAACAGGTGAGTTATGAAATCCTTTGCTTTGAAAAATTTGCTTTGAAAAAAAGGTCAAAGGCATGTGTGTTTTACATGTCTTTGTAAACATTCCCTGAGCACCAGTGGTCATATTTGTTTTATGCAAATTGGTAAAGACTTTACTTACTTGTGATTGGCTCACCTGTGGGACTGAGTGGGAGTGTGCTGACTTGCGATTGGCTGTCTCTCGTTAAAGTCTATGACCGTGAGTGCACCGGCATCTCCAGTGCACAGGAAACAGAGGCCGGTCAGCATGAGTTCCTTCAGCACGCATTCACCGATAACGTACGATTCCAATACCATGCCCTCCGACACGCCAAAGAAAAGACGAGCCCCGTTGCCACCTAGCATGATGTCGCAGAGCATGCCTAGTGACCTCAGTCATAACCACGGGGATGTGCATCCTGATGGTAACCAGGTACGTGGCGCTGTTCTGGGATTCAGTTAATATTTACTAGGAAAACTTGGCTTGAACATGCAGTCCGAAAGTCTGAGATCAGATTGAAACATTTTCATGTAAACACAGTTTTTGAGGAAGAATTCTGCACTATTCTTTGGTGACTAATCAAATGCAAGTAATTGAGTGACATAGGTTTTGTGGCTCTTTGTGCAGATGGTCATATGTTTCTTCCATTGAAGCTCAAAGATGCTCTTGTTTCAACCCAAATGTTGGGTCAAATATGGACAAAGCCAAATGTTGGGTTAAAAATGCAATTACAGTTGAAAGTGAAATTTGAAATGACATTTTTTTGACCCAACATTTGGGTTAAAACAACCCAGCATTGTTTAGATTGTGAGAATCAGGTTTTGTTCATGTAGATCCAGTGCTACTATCATTAATGCAAAAGACGCACAATCCAGATTCTAAGACATTCTCAAATGTGTTTTTCTGATATGACTTGTAATGAGTACTTTGTATTTAAAATTAGAAAAGAACACAAAAAAGCAGTTCACTAGTGGTCTCATGCGAAATGCTGTGACCCCAAAAAAGACAAGTTCACTTTGAAATGAATTTTTGGTATGTTTTAGCTTAACTTGAGGGCATCCAAGATGTAGGTGTCTTTGTTTCCGCAGTATTTTCAATTTAGATATTTTTAGGTCAAACCGTTCTTGTCTGTCAGTCATATAATGGAGGTCTATGGTCACCACCTCAAAGAGCATGCACAGAGAAGTCCAAATTAAACATGATTTAATGACTCGTAAATGTAAGTACACATTGATGGCCTAAGACTCTGTGTGAGAAAACGAACAGTATTTATATCGTTTTACCCTTTTGTTACCACAACCACAAAGCGCCCGTGCCCTCAGATCACTTGGACGTGGCTGTGCTTACAAGAGGTAAAAACGATATATAAATACTGTTCGTTTTCTCACACAGTGTCTTAGGCCATCAATGTGTACTTACATGTACGAGTTATTAAATCATGTTTAATTTGGACTTCTCTGCGCATGCTCTTTGAGGTGGTGACCATAGACCTCCATTATATGACTGACAGACAAGAACGGTTTGACCTAAAAATATCAAAATTGAAACTACTGTGGAAACAAAGACACCTACATCTTGGATGCCCTTGAGGTAAGATAAAACATACTGTAACAAACATTAATTTCAAAGTGAACTATCCCTTTAAGCCTACATGAGCCTTCGTTGTTGTGGAAGTCTATTAAAGACAGAAACTTGACAAGCTAAATTTTGTTTGGTTTTATAAAGTTTTATTTTATTTTATTTTGGGTTTCTATATAACAAACTATAGAAAATATGACATTTTTAAGTTTCCAGGCACTCTTTTTGGGCTTCATTGTCTTGGAAGTCTTTTAAAGACAAGGAAATATATTCGGTAACCTGTTATTTCATAACCTCAGTTCAAAGACCAAGTATCTATGTATAAACGGCACTCTGCAAAAACAATGAGCGGTTAAACCTTGCTTTCACAGTATTTGTTTTGTTTCTACGTAAACTCGGCGCTGGGTTGAGTCAT